CAAGCATATATTGAGGCAGCAGAAGATATTAGGCAAAGCGACTCCAAAAATTAATTACAAAACCCAAGAATGTTGGACTTACAATTTCTCTCTAATAAAACCACCGCACAATCGCCCGAATCGCCGCCCAACGAGCTGATTTCCTGGATTGGTGAATTCAACATCGAAAGGAATCGACGGTTCTTGATGCCACCAAAACAATCCGTCAAGTCCCACTTCACCAGAACACCCTCAACACCTCCACTGTAGAGGTGTTTTCCTGAGAGGATGAGCTTACGCATTAACCCATTAGAAACGAAAGCAAGAGAGAATTTTTTTAGTAATAAATTCACCTTCACAAGTGAAGGCAAGAGCCGTAACAGCAAAGTTGTGCCAATGCATGCCAGAGCGCTTAACGTGCCTCGGATGCAGCAAGCGCCATCCAGAACAGGACTTCTTGTTGATGGTATGAAAATGCCCTACGTCAGATTCCGATTCTCCATAACTGCAAATACCACCATCATCACCATCATCGTCCTCCTGACCTTCAAGATGCATGCCTTCGTACAGAGAGGACGGTGAAGTGGTCAGATTCCACCAAATCATAATTTCACCCATCGCATTGCCCGTGGCAACAATAGCCTCAGTAGGGTGACATGCAACATACGTCAGACTTTTGTAGGTATTCACAACAGACGTCTCAGCAACCGGCAAAGTGTAACTAAAAGCCGATAAACAAGTACAACTAACTCACCATGTATAATCGTCGAATTTAAACCAATGCAGGTAAAGCTTGGTACTTGAAATGGCAGCTACAAAATAGTCCTAAAGAGTTTAAAACCAATACGAAACCCACGTTTACGTCAAACAAATACTTGGTTTTGATTCCAGGAAAAATTTGATAGAAGTCCTCAAAAGATTTATCGGAAACACATATTCGTTCTAAAAATTAATGCTATAAATAAAAAGTACTGGATTGCCCTTGCTCTAATAGGGCGACATATAGTTTCTTGCAGCGGACAATGCGAGAAATCGGGTTGCGCGTAGTGATTTTCTACAAGTGTAATGTTGAATTAGCAAAGGCGTACAGACAGAGTGCGACCATCTTCAACGTCGGATACGATTATTTTTCCATCTAAACCACATGAATACAACTAAACCACATAAACATGAAGGTGCAAGGCATACCTTGGCTGACTCGATCCATAATTTGGTAATCAAGTCACTATGAACTGACACCCTGAATAGAAGTTTATCCGAGTCGCAATCGCATGCATATATAACCTTGTCGACAGCATATATGATAGTACTAAAGTTTAGCTGGATTTGAAACATCCTACTTATTATGCTTGATGTACAAGGGGGAGGCGTTTGTTAGAATTCCGGATTTCCGCACAAACCTTGGACAGTCAGGACCGGCGTCACGCATTATCTCAACCAAGCCTCGAGATATGTTAAGCCATTTAGCTCATTTGAATAATAAAGTAAAATATGTAAACTTTCGCATTAAGGCACTTACAAAGAAAACAATATAAAAAAATTTTGCTTAAATTTTTTGCCACATGACCTCAACAAACTACGCCTTAACAGGCTCTTAGGGTAAAAGATTTATAATAGGCAAAAATTAAATATTTCTTGTTCACATCTTTCAAGCGAACTCTTGCTATAATAAAACTACGGCGTATTTGGGTCTTCTATACGCCAAGCAGAAACAAAGAACTTATATGGTACATGCGAAATTATATTGATGTTTAAAATATGCACTAGTGTGGGCACTGTGATTCATATCTCCTATGATTTGTCTATTGCAATTGTATGTTTACTTAACTCTTGGCGCTCGCGCTCTTTACTAAACTGAGATGGAGCGAGTTTCTGCGGTTTGTCCTGGTTCAAGTATACTTTGTAAAAACAACTGCGGATATTATGGGAATCCTTCCTGGAACAACTATTGTTCTAGGTGTTATAGAGAATTTCAAACAAAGTCTGATCCTCATCTGCGCACTGCGCGTGCATTATCGAGAACTTCCTCGCGAGCTTTTGCGAATTTTGAAGCTAAACGTAAGAAAGTTGCGGGTAAAAGCTCTGGAACTATTAGAAATATCCTAAAGATCCAAAGAGGTTGATCTTTTGGTTTTTAATTCGCTTAGATCATGACAAACTTAGTCCAAGCATTTCCGAAGAGTCTTTGCAGGCTAGGGCGGAATTCTATAAAGTTCTGAAAACCTGGAGGTCAGCTCCTGGCCACGATGTTACTAAGCAGGTATGTGGGCATCCATTTTATTTGCAGATTGAGAAACTTCTGAGAGATCTCGATGTTAATGAACTTGTTAGTATTAACAAGTTTTCAAATGCGATCAAGGACTTTTATAGTTACATGGCACAGCGGATCTACACCAATCACTTGTACCAGGTAAGTCTGTGGTTTTGTGCCCAGTATGCGTCGTTGTTCTGCAGGATGCTTCGACTGAGCAGAAGGAAAACCTCTTAAATGCGATCGAGCGATTCCTTTCTGTATGGATTTATCCGTATGCCTTTACGCCCCCGAATACTGACGATGAGGAGGTTGACTTGAAGCTGCAGGATCGAATTCGGTCGCTCCATTGGGTGTCTCATCAGCACTTGGATGCTCCTATCGATCCTTCTTCCCCAGAGCAGTCGCACCACCTCGAAGCAGCCATTCTCCGTATGCATTAACTTTATTTGTTTTGCCTTTGGTATATTTTAAACTATTCACTTTTGTACGATGTGTATTTCAGTTGCTGGTTTGAAATGTATGATGCGTAAACACAATCGCATGTAGCGTGCACACTATCATCGTAGCAGTACCTGGTTCTCAAGCTGTGTCGCTAGTCTATTGCTGTTGGGATCTCCTCAGTCTTCTTATGGAAGTTGCTTTTGACGTTAACGTTTAAGTTCTTGCAAGGCTTTTTAGCCATCAACTTTTTTCCTCCATTCCCTTATCTGAAAGGACAATAGCTAATTTTTGTTCCCATTTGTGCTTAGCAGTTATCGTTTCGAAATCATTTACGCTCATTGGATTTGCGGCTTTTGTAGCTTCATCACTGGGAAGTGGGCTTTTTTACATTTCTGCGACCGCTGCTGTCGTTTTGCCCTTTTTAATGTAGTTCCTTTTTCATCTTCATTGTTCCGCCCCCTATTAGTTCGCTATGCGCGCTTTTTGGTTACTCATAGCTCTCTAGAATGGGTGGCGTTGCTTCAGTTGTGAGTGCTGTTTTCACTGCCCTCGGAGCGTACCGCACCTAGCTCTTTCAATTTCCTAATTCCCCTATTTTGTGGAGGATATCGTCCCAAAACCTAGAGTGTGAATGCTCCTTTGGTTCGAACATTTGTCTTCAATGTCAGTTCCCATCGAATTTCGATTTTATCTTTGCAATCCATTTAGATTTGATTCGACAGAATGAAGTTCGTCCCACTGAATCTAAGCTTGATCAGATCGTTGACTGCTGCCATGAGGTCTTCAGGGCATTGCGGTTGAACGCCAAGACTTCTGATTCTTCTTCCATGACAGTAGCGACGGCAGCTGCCGCTGCAGTTAATATAGCAAAACAACAGCAAATTCAGTCACAACAGCCGCTGGCGCCTCATTGTTCCTCAAATGCTGACGACTTCCTTCCTGCCCTCATCTGGATTGTGCTCCGTGCCAATCCTCCATTGCTACACTCCAATCTTCAGTTTATCATGCGTTTTGCCAGCGACACACGACTGAACACTGGCGAGGCAGCTTACTGCTTCACAAATTTGGTACGTTTTTGTCCCATGTAATTTATCCTCACCATTACTGAGCAAAAGCCAGCTTCTTTTCTTCATCCTCTCCTGTGTTTACAGTGTTGCGCTGTGGAATTCATTAAGAACCTCAACTATGCCAGCATCGGTTTGACGAAGGAGGAGTTCGAGCATCAGATGCGTGATGGCGTACCAGTCACCCTTTGTCCTGCTGACATTCCTGATGCTTTTTCTGACACCAAGCGGCGTTACAACGCCATCAGTCAGAAGTGAGTTCTCCTCTTTCCTCTTCATGGCAAGAATTCTTCTCTTTTTCATTTACATGAACGAGTTCTTTTCCTATAGCACCTAGATCCATGGTGCGTGAAATCATAACTTCCTCATTTTACTACCGTTGATTATCAATGAGAGTAATAAACCATTTTTTCGAATGGTGTTAAATTATTTTGAGTTATTCAGCTGCTGTTGTTCTCTGAAATCTACGCTACTATCAGGGGCGAATTCTTTTGTTATCATGGTTTTTTTTTGTAATACTAACCCGATTTACTAGCCTCATTTTTTAAATCAATATAAGTTTCATGAATGACAGATTATTTTAATTACATGAGGTAAATTTTTGACCTTTTTTCAGCAACAGTGCATGAGATCATTGCATCCAAAATTGAATATTAGCTTTTGCTAACTGAAATGCACAATTGTTGTAGATCAATAGGATAGTTTTCTCCGTTTGTTATATAATGCCTGTTTTATAGTTTGCTTGACTAATTCCTTACCTTTGCCTTTCACCCATCGTAAAAGCTACTGAACATTTACTGATATGTTGATGTAAGATAACAGACATGGTACCTTCTCTTACTAAGTGACCAAAGCGTTTATAGGGTTTTCATTGTGGGCTGCCGGCAAACCTGGCACCTTGTAAGGATGTGTAATTGTAGTTGTTAGCACGTGGTATGAGCCATAGGTGTTCTTGGTTTGCGGTCTAAACTGTTGTTACCGCATTTTGAACACCCATTTATAAGGAGTGCAAAGCGGTTATAACGGTTGCAGCGTCTGGATGCGGTGCAACTGAACGAAGTGTAAGGTAAGGTAAGCCTTATTGAGGAGGAGCCAGGTCCAGTAAGTGGGTGGAAAGGAAGCCCTAGTTCAGCGAGGTGCCACATTTCGGGGCTTTGTATTCCGTAATAGTGAAGAGATGTGCATCTTAGTTAGGGAGGGAGTGTAGTTGGTCTCTCCTCATTTCTCGCACTCCTCTGATATTCAGCGACGTGGATGTAATTCATTGGTGGCATTAGACGAACCGCACGATCCCATGTGAAACTTTGCAGAGGCGATGCTAAGGTTTATGGGAAATAAGAGTGTCGATGTAGTCTGACGTGCGGCAGAAAATGTAATGCAACTCAACTTTTCCTTTTGCGTTATTATTTATCAACAGGATCTCTTTTAGTCGTAGTTTGAGGATTCCTTTTTGACAACCGTTGTGTGCTTATTTCTAAATTTGGAACATTTGCCGCATAGCATCCAGTTAATGGGTAATTTTCCTAACGACTTGATGCGTTTTCGGGCCTTAATTTTTTTGACGCATAGTGAGACTAGAGGCCCGATGAAGTGTGTTTCTCAGGTCACTCGGTTTATTCAGACACGATTTCTCCCCTATTGTGATTTTTGAAGGCAAATTGTTGCCATCGTATTGCGTTTGAGTGAAATAACAGCTTGTCTATTTTAATACTACGAACTTGGTAGTTTTAATGCGTTTTTTTGTTTTTATTTTTGGTTTTCTTATCCTTGATGATGGTCTTGGCAACCTCCTAACTTCCTTAGATTTTTTTGAAAAATCCAAAATTACTGAATCTTAGCATCTTTAAGTTCTGCACTTTGCGCGTGGATCAGATGACTGCTCGAAGATACGTGACAATAGCTTTTTAAACATCTAAATATACTCTTGCGCTTTTACCTAATGCTCTAGATTTCCCTACTAATTTGGTCTGGGGGAGGCCAAAAGCTTTCGTCGGTTGTTGGCATCTGGCTCCTGTCACCTGATTAGGCTATGGTTAGTCCACACTGTCTCACGTCTGCATAATTTGTTTACGTTGTAGGTGTTAATGGTACGGCTCTAGAGGCAGCTTTGTCCTTTAGGCATCTCTTAGTCCACCTGTTGTAAGTAGCTTTTGATTATCTTTACACTTTATCCCTCCAAACACTTTGAATCAGAAATATGCTTTATCCACGGTGGGCAGATACCAGTGCCGCTTTAGATACCGCCTCAGGCGCAGCTCTACATGTGGGAGGTTTTACGAATGAGTTATTGTTAGTATTTTGATGCACAGCATCGCATGCAGTATCGTGGGGTCATACTGGGATTCGACTACTCTGAGTATCATTTTTTTTTCGATTCCTTTGGTTTCCGTTCTCTTGCTATAACCCAAAAGTAGGTGTAAATTACAATTACGACTGACCTATCCAAAAGACCTTTTGCGCAATAGTCTTAATAGGAACCGTCGCCCTAGACACTGGTGCCAAAGGGTAAGTATTAATGAAAGTTAGGCTCTTACTTTCTAACTTCTTGGTGACCTTTTTTTACCATCGCTGCCACGACTACAAATCAGTGTTCACGCTGTCTACATCGGTAAGCCTAACTGAACATCACATTTTACAACTCGAAGATCGTAAGGTCTCCGTAAAACTCGCATTGTTTGTATTGGCGATTTCCGTTTCAAGTTCATCAAAACAGCCATGTGCTCTACCTAAGCGATTACATGCTGCGTTGTGTATCAGCCGCACTGATCAAACGGAATAACTTCCAGCTATCTCAATCCAAAGGATTAAGTTGCATCGGGTGACTTGATTTTTATGGTGTGATGCGGTGTCCGCTCAGAGATGCTTGATCAGTGCGTTTTCCTGAGTCTGCTTGTGTGCCAAATTCACCGGAATTCCTGTTGCACTTTGTGCTTTCCTTCGTGTGTGCTGTGAGCCCACCTTGGCCTGTCTACAGAAATCTGCGGAGGTGTAGCACTTGCAGAGGTTGTCGTATTAGCCTCTCTCCAAGGGATTTTATTGTGTTAATACGACAGTGAGACCAACGGCTTGTTTCCTTCTCTCGAAGCTTTACTTTTTTGGGTTCGTATCAGCCAACCGAATCTGTTAGTCAGCAATAGTTTTGGATTTCATCGCGCATTCCCTTATCCGTTAACCCTGTGTCTAAAGTTTATGCATTCGAGGCGTCCTCAATTTACTGAATGTCATTAAATCAACGTTTGGAGTTCCTTTCACCAACCTCCCTTTTCTCGAGGTGGTATTAAAATGCTACTGATTAATAACGATTTTAATCGAACGAGGTCGCGTTATTTCTGAGTCTTATTTGATCACTCAAAAGCGTTGAGGACTGTTTTTCTTTAGATAGGAACAGTAATTGCAACACTTTCATTGGAGTCAAAAATTTCGGCCCTACTTTTACGTACCTTTTGAATTTTATCACCAAGTGTGATTTTACTATCAGGCCTGAGCCAAATAGATCGAAGGCCTAAATGTGGAGGTTTACTGTACACTGTTACTTTATGCAGATACAATTACTGACTGAAAAACTCCCACTGGCCTAATTGAACTTGCAATCATTGCATCCGATTAGGCCTTCAATATGAACTGAAATCCTTCTGACACCTCAACTGAGGGTAACTGACTGCGAGTACGCATTTGGGATTACCCACTAACACATCATTGTTTACCAATGACGGGAGATTAATCTGGTACTTAAAATGTGGGCTCAATGTCTGCCAAATTTGAAAATGTTATGGGTTCTCTATGCTCAAAAGTACGCACTCCGTAATTATGCAGCTGATTTTGATGCAACCATCAAATTTTTACCACAACAGGCTGAGAGCAGGAAAGAAATGCGTGATCTCAGTGTGACGACGTACCAGATACTTTTACTCTCCAAACTTTAGCCTTCATTACCGACTGATGACTATACACGTGTATCTGCGCGAATTGAGTGTGGTTTGAGTGCCCTTTTTGAACCAATTGAAAGTAGTCCTCTAGTTTTAAGATTGAATGACACATCGGCCCCAAGGCTTTCCCATTTACTAGGTGTTTACCTCGGTAGCTTCGAATGAATTTTCTTTCCTAATACGCTATGTTTTCGGTGTCACTGCAAAAGCAGTGAACAACCCACTTGAACTGTCCTTTTGGGTTAGTTAAGCAAAATTCAACACCACTTTTGGACACCTATTGGATCACCCAATTCATTGTATAGGCTGGACGACATGGAAGCATGGATGGTGGCCACGGAGCGAGAATTGAGCGCAAGCGAGAAGCAAACAGCCGAGCGCGTAGCACAGCTGCGCAAAACGTGCACGTTGGAACGCACAGTCTACCTAGATCCGCGGGAGTTGGTCACTCCCCACGTACTGTGCCTTGGACCAATGATGGAAAATCTTCCAACTTCGCATCCAAAGTCGCAGCCGATCAATCTAATCGACCAGCTCCGGCCTGACGAGGCCCTCGCTTCCACCCCATGCCTTGCGCCTCTCCCTAGCCGTACGCCCCCGCGACCACCACGTCCCCCGCCGCGGTAGCGGCAACTGAATGACTTTTCTTCTCTTCCACCTGTTGCCTAATTTCCTATTTTACCACATTCAATGATGATTGCCATTCACTCCATCGTTCCTCACTAAATCGCTCCATCATTCCGGAGCCAAAATTATGGCGGTAGCATTTGAATGACGGTGGAGGTTTGGAACAATTCGGTGTTAGTTAGTTTCCCACAAATGACTAGTTCTGACGTTGGTTTTGCTATTTCATCCGTATTCACATCTGCAACCTTGAATTTCCAAGGCTCTCTTTGTTCAGTTGCAGCAGCAGACACCGTTGTGGAAGCACTGTGCCAAAAAAGCTGCTACAAGGGACGGAATCGGAAATTGAAAGGTCTGAATTAGGCGGTTGTATGCCGCTCTACCACTCATTTACATCACGCGGTTTGGTTTTCATTTATTAACCCACGTGGTTGAGTCTAGATATCCAGTTAATAACGGCTTCATGATTTTGTGACGGCAGATCATTACGAAATGTTCCCAGACCAGCTAAGTGATTATTGCATAAATTTTTAACATCTATTCCCGATAGTTGAAGCACTGGATAGACGCGATGTGGCCAAGTTTCATGCATTGTAAATCCATTGGAACCAAATCACCAAAGTCACACTGCCTTGTGCGAAAAAAGTGAGGTTGACAGTGCAGATGCCGCACTCCTCTCAATCACCCCTCTGACAGATTCGGCAGTTCTGCAGTCACTGCTGCCGTTGACCATTCAAGTTCAGCCGAGGTGACTGAGCCACATGCCTATATTGGGCTGGACGCTAGAACCTCTCATTAACGAAGTGGGGGTGGTACGCCAGGTGGTAATTTGGTTCACTAAAAATAATGTGTACTCCACGTTCCACACTACACAAACGTCGCCAATGATTTGACTTGAAGACTTTGGAGTTACTGATACAGATGTCCGCGAATCTGAGAGTATCTCTTTTAAATTTAGTCCTGCTGCTCAGTCATCGCCAGGTGGGTAAATCGGGTTCCCCTCCAATAGGTACCACAAATTAACTCCTACTCTTCTCGATTCAGCCTTTCACGAAGAATTGTGTGTTCCTTGTACCAGTTTGAGTTTTAACTAATAAAAAACGCTTCCTCTAAAAATTGCAGACAAAGTTCAACAACAATACGGCACTAAGTTTCTGAGCTGTCTACCTTGAATATGGGCATGTCCGCTGTTATTTCCCACTGGAAACTCAAAGAAAGCCGTTTTGAGTCAAGGTAAAAATGAACAAAACCATCGGTAAGCTCAAACCTTCAAAGTCGTCTAATTGCACGAAAGGCGTCCGATGGCAGTGTGGTAGAAAACGCACGCGAGATAAACGTCGTGGCAACAAACTAACCCATATCAACCAATAAAGGCAGAGAACAAAACGAATGTAACTGTTCGTGACTTAAGAGTGTGCATTCCTCAGGATGTAGTGAAAGGAAAGGATGAGGGAAAGCTGAGCGAGATGAGGAGGACCGCACGCGCGAAGAAATAAGAAAGGATGAGTGAGGCAGGAAAGCAAGAATCAACTGAGTGAAATGGCAGAGCCGGCGTCTATCATACTTGGGTAATTTTTACATACGCACCCACTGGCCCACTCATTCACTCTTAACCAGTCGAGCAGCGTAGGACCGACCTAAATGCTTCTCCAATGGCAACAAAGGGGGACAGATCGAGCCGCTCGCGCGCCTCACCTCTCGTTTGCCTTTTCAAGTATTCCGCTCATGCGAGCTTGCCACCGTCGACTCTGCTTCCGCACTTCTCGCGCTACTTGACGACGGTCAATGCGGATTTGTAAGATCTGTGGCAAAAGAAAAAAGACAAACATGATAGATACAATAATCCTCGGCACATTTTCATCATTTCAAGGCATTAAAGTTGCAGCAAAGAATTCATCGAATCCCAAAAAACTCCCGACTTGCTGACGGACTGAATGGATTGATTGAATCCAACGTTGACTTGCACCAATTTACACATGATAAACAGTGATGATAGCAGATCATTGACTGGTGATTTTGGCGTAGAAGGTATGTAAAATAGAGAGGATTCTCAAACAGCCTCGAACAACGCTCAGTTATCAAACAAAGTGTAAGATAACACATTCAAGGTAAAAAAAAATCAAGGACGGTGGTGCATACCAGTCTTGCGCTATGATAAAAATTTGAAGTATCAAAAGCGTATCGTAGCCAAAATCACAGGTGGTTTTGCTATGCGGTGGTCAAAACACACAAGTGTTCTTACGCTTTTAAATCAAGGGTGAAGGTTAGCATCACATCGAAACTTGGGAGGTATTACAAAGCCATTAGGCTTAATTCTTGGGTTTTGCCCCATTGGTGGGGATACTACTATTCGAACTAAAAGGTGCTGCCACCATTATTAATTGTAATATAACTATGTATGGCCGATGAGAAGCTGAAATAACTACAGTCAATGTAGCACATAGGGAGATTTCATGTTCTACAAGAAAACTCACATCATGAACCAACTCCTCGGGGTTGTCGAGCTTAAAGGGCACAGTTTGAGCTTGAAGAAGAATTTCGTCGACTCCTCCGCAGGATTTGCGGAAGGTAGCACTGTTGAAACATCGATAGAGCAATAGCAGCCCGACCTTGAAAATTATTATTTTACCTAGAAGACGTAGGATATTCTTAAATTTACGCTTAAGCATTAATCAACGGTTACCTTTAAATTGTACAAGATTTGGTAATTGGGCAGATAGTAGAAAATCGAACGAATTTACAAAGGGAGAAATTTAAAGTGAAAAAGGCGACGCTCAAGTAACAACGCAGGGACAAAAGTCTACAAAGGCGAATAAAGTTTTTACTTTTGTTCTTCGACCATTATTATGGTAGCACCCAACCTAGCACAATACGGCGTCCATATCGATCGTGGATATTTTCAACTACAGCGTCTATGATTCAGGCCTTTATATGCCAACACAAAAATTGTCCATAAAGTACGACATTATCTCATCCTCATCAGAGGCGGCTCTAATGTTGAAGCTGAGTACAAAATCACGATGCATATTAAGTCGAAATGGGTTCATGCAGTTCAGAACTTTACGAGCATTTCTATGAAGTGGAAAAGGTTTGCGGCTCTTGGTAAACACAGCACGTTTAACTTCTCCCAGGAAATTGTCAGCATTTGTATAATTACTGGGCGCCAGAAGGGAATCAGTTTCTCGAAAATCAACAATTCAGAATACTAGCCTCGAGTTTTCTAAAATTAATTCAAGGGTATCAAACATTTGAAGCCGTGTATATTTTTGAAAGAAGGATTATATTAATAAAAATCAATGGATAGCCAAAAAAGCCGAAAAAGATTGCAGCGAAAATGAAGCAGAAATGCTAGAGGATGCTGAAATATCCCAACCCAAAGTCTCAGCAATGGTATGTGAATGCTTAATATTGTAAATAATCCACTAATTTAGCATCAGGACAAAGTTAATCGGCGACGAAGAACACAGAGAATGTCCATCTTCTTTGTTGTGTTGAGAACGCTGTCTTCTTTCGAATCCGGTGTGATTTGATATAAAAATATGGCAATAAAATGGATGGGCCAACTCACCTTCACAGAAGAACATGTCGAGGACCCGAAGAGCAGAAGCCCATGGAAGAGTGCGGGTGTAGACACACATGAACCACTCTACCACCAGCATTATTGGTTCGGCGCCATGCTTCATCTAGATATGCAATGTTGGAAAGGATATATGTTCACAATTTTTAACGTTTTAAGATCACAAAGATGGAGAAGCTGCACAGATCATAGAACTTCTTAAGGGTACTTACTTGATTAAAGTAACACGACTGAACTCACCAGGAATTTATAAATTTGAGGAAAGAGGCGTTTGAGAAGGCCGTATAGAATCTGACCGTCAATCTGAATAAGTTCCTGCACAAAGATCATCAAATTAATTTATACGACACGGCCTAACAAAAAATAGTTTGAAAGCCTTAAGCCAGTGAGTTTTCCTTAACTACTAGGGCGCCACAGCATATGAGATAGCACAGATTTCCCAAAAAGGCAAGCTCAAGACAGACCCTCAAAAATTTCCCTAGGTAAAACAAACAGGACAGAAAATTTTGATGTAGCACCAGGTTTGCATAACGTTTCGGCTGAGCCATTGAACGCATTTATCAGTCTATAAAACAGCATCTGCGACATGCTTGAGATGCATAAACTGCAGAAGATTCATTAAATCCTAAGCAAGTGCTCATGAATAACGACATAAAAATGTTCGTTGCATACAGAGGGAACAAATACTGCAGTTATTTTTAACCCGAAGCCCTAATCACTTCCTCTATCGGCAAAGGGTACCTGCCGCATTGAAGTGCAGTAGTGAATGCTGCTAAAAACAAAGCATAGCAGACCGATTTCATGAGGTGACCTTCACACTAAGCATCAACTTCCGTACTACCATGTACATTACCACCCACCATAATTTCAACCAGTGGATCGTAAAGCCCCGCAATTTTTAATCCCATTGAAATTACCAAGCCCTCATCGTAGTAGGAAACGAGGTATCGTTCACAGATTTCAGTAAAGGTCCAGAAGGCCTCCACCTCAGGCATAAACATGAGCAGAACCGCTGCCAGTGGTGCTTGACCTTGACAATAACCTTTGTTGGGATGCCGAATAGTGTAGGCCTTTAGAATGGAGAAGAGGCTTTCGCGTCTACAAATAAGATTAGTGGCTTATACAAATAATGCAATGATTTCTTCTTAATTATACCAAGAATTTGTGTTTCTCGAAATGGATACAACACTTCCTCTTGCAGAAACTGTAAAGATTTATCAGAAACGACCGAATCAACAATAATCATGGTTGAGCAACCTATTCCGCTGAAAATACACGCCTATAGTGAGTTCAATTTTGAAAGATTACCCAACAATCTTACCCAGCAAACTGCAATATTAATAATTTGAATGTTTAACTGCATCCACATGGGCACTAGCATAATTAAAAACAGCAGAACTCATCAGCTTAACGACTAAATTGATGAACTCAACCTTCTCCATGACGAATAATGGTTCAGTTGTTAAGCTGTTCAAGGTGGATGCAGCCAATGCCTCTACAGATACCTCGAATGCCCTATTTGCGGCAGGCACGAAAGCGAGGATGCTGCCAATCAGAAATCCTTCCAACGAAAGGACATAAAATCAGGAGGTACATGAGGTTGGTCAATGCTAACCAGCATTCCTGGTCAAATTTACGATAAAAGCGAGGGCAGTTACTAATTCAAAAGGAAAGACGGCTTACTTGCAAGAAACGGACCCTAAACACGAACAATATTTATTCTTTCTAATTGTCAGATGCAAATCTCATTAGTCTGAGATGATTAAGATACATACTAGTCGAAGGTATGCAAATTCAGTAAGTCAACAATCACGATGAAATTCTACTCATCATATCAATTGTAAAATAACCAAATCAGATGCAAAACCGCATCGTCCCTGGTTTGGAGCCATAAATACGTCATTGGAAAGCACTAAAATTCACTAATCATGGTTTGACAGGGTTAGCAGTGTCCGTTTTCTCTTATCACTTTGACAACATAAACCACTAGTGAGAATGGGATGATGGGGCTTGAAACATATGCACAACACTATTCTGAACCATTAACGTTTACCATGTTATTTACAGTAGCTCAACGATGATTTAACAGATGGACATTCAAGTGGGCATCACCCGACTCAAAATACAAAAAATGGTTAATTATTGTATGCCACTCCGTACTCCATGCTGTTTACTCGTTCCTTTAAATATATTATGAGAACTGTTGTGGGGAAAGCACAAAATGTTTCTGTGTGAAACGCATAAAAGTAGCATGAAGACGTCCACCAATAACAACTATTATACATGATCCCAATCGGTTAGGAACAAGTTGAGGTTCTGTCCTATACCTGCAAATGAACTTTAAACAGTAAATTATGAAAAACAAAAGACAAATCTTTAAGGATATTGAAAACAAGTGTTGGATAAAAATTTGGGACCTAAAAACAGCTTTCCAGATAATTAATATCCAGCGGCGCGATAACGGTGAAAGCTTTTTTCCAAAACAATTGTTGAAGTTCAAAAAAATGACAAATGACATCACCCAATGATTACAAGTGCTGATGCAAAAGTAGACTTCTTTTTGCAAGAATGAAATTATGCAAGGCACTCTTCAGTAAACATACAAATCCGATTAGTGCAAAACAGCAGACGCTTTGCCAATAAAGTAAAACGAGAAAGTAAACAGCGTAATCGTACAAACTTGGAGCACGATAAACTAACTATAAATGAGCCGCTAGTTCCCCTATCCCTAATGTGAAGAAACGCCTTTGGGAAGCAGAAAAAGGTAGAAGAATAAAAGACAACAGGCGAAATCAGTACCAGATACAAATAACAACAGCAAAAACCTCAAATCATAAGATTGGCAATCTGATGGGGAGACGTTCAGCGCATAGCACTTTCACTTTTGTTGACAAGTCCTCGATTCCACGGAGTGCAATGATCTCAAATGATGTGCTCATTCCCAGACTTATTGTGAATTTATTAAGAAGCAAAGTGAGGAATGAGATGGCACATTTATTAGCGAATATAGAGGAGAACATTTTTTTTGCATTTTGTATCGGTATGTAACCTGCAACCACATAAATATCGACTGGACTACAATGCCCACTGTAATAAAATAGTTTAACATTTGATCCCACCTTAATGGACTAAAAAAAACATGGATAACCATAAAATTTTAGTTATTAGAAGTTTAGAATTCACCGAAGCAGGGATGCAGCTTGCCAGTGCACCATTAAAAAAGCATTTTGCATGTAGTAACAATTAAGACTGAGCAACAATAGAGTACCCCGGTGAGATTAGGTTAAGCATTCGATGATTAGAATATTAAACACAAAAGTAATTGCCAGTGGAACGTGACTGTAGGTAAATAGTCTTAGGTGGAAGATTCGACAGATGAATTAGCTATCAAGTCAGGTAAAGTAGTGTAAGAAAATATTGGATAAGTTAACTCCACATAGGACCCATTACATCCCTCAAAAGTTTTTTTGCGGTATTCTCAAGCAGGAATGCTTGGTGGACAAGATGGCGCTTTAAATGCCCAAACATACTGAACTCCTAAACTAATCGCTCACTGCAAAAAAAGTGACAGTGTGGCCAAAGGAAGAAATTTTATCTGAGAACAGCAATTAACCGAATGTGATAAGTTTTTTTAAATGCTGTAACAGCGTTATAACTTCCTCAACACTCGTCCCTAACGACAGGAGGTATTTAAGGCTCGAACAGAGGTTGAAAGTGATTTGCCTAAGGATTGAGCTCGAAAGTCCCTGTCCTAGCAGGTCCGTTATGTAGTGAGTGAAGATAAGTCTCATTCGCTGGACAACTTGCCGATGAGTGAGCGAAAGCACGGTAGTTTGTTGGTCGTTGACTTTAAACTATTCCAGATAAACGCACAAACCTCACTTATAATAGATACCAATAGAAACGTCTCATTTCGGTTTCTTTATTATGTAGTGGTTTGGCCTCACCAACAAAGAAACGGCAAGGGATGCAAAAATTCAAATTTTACTTTAAAATCCAGACCTCAATCAGTAGTAATTTAAGCTCGACGAGGGAAAATGACCCTCATTCCACAAGTGTACTAGTAACAAAAAAAAATTTATCACTTAATCGCAAAGATGGCCTACTGTCCAACAAACGAATGATCTTGAAGCTCCATTTTTCACCTTAAATCCAATCAAAACTGAGTCCCAGCTTACCAGAGCTTAATTGTACAATTTACATTATCAGGAGAGCCGAGTCCTCAAGGATAAGAGCCTCAACTACTTCATTTTTCGAAAGCGGAATTCAACAGATGGAAACATGTGGATGTTAATATACTTACAAACGAGCAATTATGGCTAGGGGGAAAGGCCCTTCAATTCTGTCCTTCAGTCTAGCCGATAGTGATTATATTGTCACATAAAAATTGGTATATTTCGAATGAGTTCCATAAAAATCCTAAATATTTGATTACATTAACTTTTAGAGGACATTGAACCCCCTGAAGATCTAAAATCTAAACGTAGTTACCAACTTCCCCCAATTTTACTTCACCGCATACACGGCAAAGCGATTTTCAAAAACTAACAGAAGAAAAACTCACCCACAACTGTTTTTGGAGCAGAAGAGCTCATGGAAGGGGAACTGACGGTGGATATCCTTGCGTATCTGATCACATGTCACTGGATCACCCTCCTGGGCTGCGTAGGCGGCGTAGAGTACGTAGGGATCGGGAAGAGAGCAGGAAGCCGGTGCCACCAGAGTCGCCTCACGCTCCTTTGCGGCAGCAATAGAGGCGGCTCCAGGGAGGTGCTGATCACGTAGCATGAGGAGGGAAAGGGGTGGGGAGGAACTGTCCCCAGTATTGTCCGCATCCACGTCGATGCCGTCGGAGGAGCGGTTTGTCGAGGAGAGGGTAGAGAATTGTGAAGAAATAGGAGAGGCCTCACCACAGCACCCATCATCGATGAAAAGGTGGTTGTGCGACGCCAAGGCAGGTGAGTTTAAGAGGGAGGAATCGACCACGCCTGAGGCCTATAGTAGTGATAAGTACCTCATCAGTACATTCATCAATGGTCTACTTTCCCACTATAAACGTTTAAAATTAAACATTAAGTGCCCAGATAGTGTTAAAAACGAGTTTCAAGGGTTTGAAAGAGTTTCTGCCTACTTTTCAAGCGAATGCGCCATTAAAAACGAGGTTTTCTAGTTTCCGAGATAAAAAAGGTATTGATGTGGAGATATTACAGAAAATAGCAGGTAAAAATAGTGGCCTGTCACCAACAATAAGTGCGAATGAAAAATCACCCTAAACTAGTAATTAAGATTGTAGGGCGATAGCAATGATGCATGAATAGAGTAGCATGTGAAACATTCACCTGAAAATGAAGATGCAAATCCCGCCGATGTTATCGGGAGACCATTAATCATCATAAGGTGACGCGATTAATAAACGAGACAAGTAAACAGTCGTAAGTTTGTTAACAATGCTCTCAGCCCAAACCACTTATTCGTCTAAACGGATTGCGCCAGACACTGTCCCAGGTCTGAGCGCTCAGCCGACGCAAAACTGCATAAGGGACGAGTCTTTCTGCAGGCTACTGCACACTAGGAACCAAGACATCCTTCAGTGTGGATCTACATTGCAGACTTTAGTGGGTAACCATTTACTCAAAGCTTTCTAATTACGAAGTAAACGCTAGGATAAGTAAAAATCTGTAGCAAAGCACTATATCGAAAACAAGGGTAGTTGGCACTCAAAATTCGTTTGATTTATTTTAAACCGAGGCTCCAACTTCAAGTAAACTCCCCTCGCATATAATTCGCTCGTTGTCCGTTCAGGACTTGACTATCTTATAGTCCATATAAGAAGAAGACAATCATACATAACAGAAAATTGCTCCCAATTTTCTCAACTCAATGGCTGAAAGATTAGAAATTAAACAGCTTTTATGGCATTATGAGAAAAGAATTAAAATCCTGAAGGTTGGACCCATCTTTCGACATGAGTGTTAAAAAAAGTAACAATAGAAACCTTAAGATAGCAAAGCTTCCAAACGTTGCCTTTTGAGACAATTTTAGGCCAAACTGACTACCCGATCGACAATGCATGGACAAAGTAACGAGTATTGAATGGGAAAAAACGTACCTATAACTGCAAAGAATTTCAGTAAACAAAATCACTCACACGTAGACTTTCAGCCGAGCTTTCAGCGGTCAAAAAGAAGTTACTCGATGTAGTGAGAGAGTAGGCGTCCATTGAGACGCCTGTAGAGGTGGTGGTTGTGGTGCTATCACTGGGTTGTGGACCCCTACCGCCCTCTCTACTACCACTTCCACCCCCGCCACCAGCCCCACCCCCGTTATTGTTGCTAATAGGGATACCAAGGTAGGCAGCCGAAGGCAGGGCGGCGCTGTAAGTACGCGAGCGCTCCCCACTCCCCTCGAGATTGACGAGCATTTCGCCGCGTTGGAAAAAGTTTGACGCATCCGTCTCCTCAGTATCCATCAGATGGGAGGCCGATGCTTCATTTTCAGTCTCAGCAGAGGCAATGGAGCCGATTGGAACTGCAGCGACAGCAGCGGTAGTGGTGTTGAGGCGAAAGAGGGAGCTGAACTTGCGGAAAGACTTAAACTGGTTGGAGGCCTTACGGCGCGAAAAGCTGGTACGGTGGCCTGAGGGGGTAGATGGAGCATCGGGAGCAACGGCGCGAGGTGCCACCGGTGGTAAACCCTGTGGCAGGAGTGCATGTCTAAAGGAAGAGTGAAGGCGCCTCATTCAATCTTCAAGTAATTTTCATCAAAGCAAATCAATTAGAATTATTATTGTTTCTCACTAATGAAATAATGCACTCTGCCAAAACCAAGGAAACTGAAAGCCCCCATGGAGTCGTAAGAATCGTTTTAAAAATTACAGCCGGAACATTGCAAACTAAACAGTGCATTTTCTTTCTTTACTATCATGATTGTTTCCTGTTTCTCACCCCATTCTTATGGAGCTAAGAAACCCATACAAACTGTGACTTTATCCAAGCATGGGGAAAAAATGTGCATAAGGATGTCTCTAACCGAGTAAAATATGGAAGACCTTTGTGATCAATAAGGGATGAGGAAAACCGACTAATAAACGGTCTTGTAAAATCAGACAGCCTATATAGAATCGCTTCAAGGTGATCAAAATCGGCCTTAAAGATGGCCGAAATTCAACTTAGTTATTTAATAAAGGATGATTCATTACGTCTGAACGAGTTCACAAGGACGAGATTGAACGGTTTTCTTCATCAAGTAATGTCGAGTGGTAAAAAGGAGAATTCTCCAAATTTCATTAACAGTTACTACTTACTCGAACTTCATTAAACTGATTGAGAAAAATAGACCGGATTTTGGTTCGATTTTAAGACTCCTTGGAGAATCGTTACTGGTGGGACACTAACTCAAGACGCAAAAAACATTTGCACTGGTTCTCATTTACTACCTAATTTCATGAGGGCAGTGAATTTGAAATTGTAGGTAATTAAGCCTCAAAAAAGCAAGATGTTTACGAACCTTTGAAGGAAAGCTTGATGCTAATTTACTACTGTGCGGAAACACATTGAAAAATGTAAGGACGATGGAGCACACGATGGGCAAATTAGAAGATTCACAAGTTATTTTAGATAAAAAAAAATAGAAAAAACCACGATCCTATAGGGCTCAAACTTTCGGGATTTCACGGAATTCATTACTCATACGAAGCTAGCTTGATGAAATACTAGTTTTGAGGCATTTACAAATATACTTAAGATCTGTTTATCCAGCTAGTAGGCATCTTTTGACGATAGACACGCTAGCACAAGTGAAACTTATGGAACACCTCAGCGACTCTCACTCATGTTTATCGAATCGAAGCAAGAAATTTGGACATGTTTAGTTCAGTAAGCCGTGTACAAGGCAAGGAACTCGTGACGAAATTGCCAATGGGGTAAAGAAGAGCAAAAATTGCCCTGGAACTTGTATAAGGCAACATCAACAGCGAAGTAGTTCAAGAATTAGGAAAAATTTCACTTAACGAGCAAACCTAGCCAAACTTGTTTTATAATTCAAGTCCAATGTATGAAAGCTAGAAAAAAGATAGTTAGAATCCACATGCACGGTCTACAACAAACACGAGCAATTAGGAGTTTTAAAGACATACAGATCTGGTATGGTGTCCGGCAGAGCGAAAAGCAATACAATAGCCGATCAAAATGAAAAAAAGGCCGAGAAACGATAATTTGAAATAGTCAAACAGTCAGAAAATGGCGAATACATCAGCCGGGCAGGTCTTTAAGTCAGGAAAGTTAAAATGAGAAACTATTGGAGCCAGAAAGGTGAGCAAATAAGACAACGTTTCCTGGAAGATACTCAGATGGATGAACTAGATGAAGGCGTGTTAACGCCATTTAAGCAAGTGCTCCTAACTTCATAATGCTCGAGACACGTAAATTTGACTAGTTAAGTGGGCGAATAACAGAAATAATGGGACCGAAGCCATCGATACAGTGAGCAGGATGCGTGGCAATGTACTTCAACCTGTAGAAAACCAATACCGCGAGCCATCTTTTGTTTAAAATGAGAAACTAAATCGGAGAGATCTAGAGTAAATTTTAAAGAGGATTTAGTAAGCAATTCAAAAAGTCATGGCACATATTAAAAAAATCTCCAAAGGATGGAGCAGAATCAAAGGCTTAAAAATGTATTTTCTAGTGCACAAAAATCCACTGCCAAAAAACTCAGTTTGTTAAGCAACCATAAATGCTGACACGAATCATTTAATGACTGAAGAAAGTTTACAAAAAGACTGCAATTCCCGAGCCGGAAAATTTAGTCAAACACTGACAAAGAAGCCGGAATGCGGCCCATACAATGCAAACGTACCTAGAGTCTAGGGATTCAACAAAGAAAATATGTTCCTTGACCCCATCAATCAAAATCAAAACGTAAACCGTACTAAACGCGCCCAAAATAAAGTCACCGAGAGGCTTTTGCTTCCGAAAATCGAAAAGTGGCTTTGCAATGAATCTCTTGAACAGATGTAGAACATCCAATGTGGAATTTAATGAGCGGCCAGAGAAAATGCAAATCAACAGACGCCAACAGAAGCAAAAAGTAATACTCTGCATTTTGAAGGGAGGGGGAGGCCCCAACGATTCTTGTCGACTAACAAGGATGGAAATGCTAGCTTCCTTTTTAACTATTTATATACGGCGGGAGCTGAAACAACTTGCAATGTGCAACCCTTGAAAATTCGGACAAAAATAGCTGAGCAATCGTGGCAATTAGTGTTCAGTGCCCATATGCCTTGGCGTGCGGTTCATTAAAGGCGTCGCTGAAGAACTACTGTCAAATGCAGATACCCCAAAAAAGTTGTCAGAAGCCTTAAAAAAGTGGTTTCTCAGAGAAAGACGCCAAACTTTACCCAATGTTACAAAATCAAACTACGATAAATAATCTGACGCTGATCCCTCAACTGTCCGTAGAATTTGTGGAGTTTTAAACAGGAATTCATTGATTCCAAGAGTTGGAACCTTTTAAAATCATTGCTAATCAAGAATGCATAGAACAGATCTCTACCTTAGCGCTTGACACAGAATGGCGTTTCAAGAGCTCCGATAATCACATTCTTTCACCGATTTTGCTAGAAAAATGGATTTTATAAAAATGGCCATTGATAAAAAGCCGAAAATGTTCTTTAATACAAGCACGTATTCCAACAGACAGTTTAGCTAACGCAAAGCCTTTTGAATGCAACTAAAAACCGTTTCCAGAAACAGAGACGACGTGGCAGAGTCGCAATAAGCTAATTTAGTAAATGAATACGGGAATTCCCACAATCGCCTTGCATTTGGAAGCGTCTTGACGATTCACTTAGCAGTGCGGCCTAAGAATAAACCAAGGGCATTAGCATTCAGCAAAACCACAAAAAATGGCATAAGTCTAAGGCAAGAAAAGCATTCGTGTTGATCCGCAGTTTCCAAAGCATCCTAATTTTGGTAAAATGTCAGTAAAAACCAAGTGAAAGACAGGAAAGTAGTGCTGACCATTCACTAAATTGGCATTATCTGCTCACTTTATGTCGCACATCGTTAGCATGATGAGGCAGAGTTAGCCATTCGATGCTAATGTGCCATTGTGAGATTAAAATAACATAAGCACGAGTGCCCTCGCGTGAGTGCCTCGAATGCAAGCGTTCAGAGATTTATATGTAGGTTGAAAAAACAAGCCTACAAGATTCGCATTGGACGAATGATAGAAAGTAGCATTGACATTCCGTCGGCAAAAGAAGATAAATCTACCTGCACACATTGAAGAAACGATGCAAGGGTTGTGACTCCATGACTGAAAATCATGAACATGTAACATTCAATAGCAATTGCCTTTTACAGAGCATGCAAATGCCTTTGTTAAATCCCATTGAGTACACTTTTTAAAACTAAGTTAAAAAGCTCCGATATGACTACACGAATAAGACAAAAGTAGCTAACCCTCGCCACCTTTAAGAGCTGATGCAACCTATATTTGAGTCAACAATTTAATAAAGGTAATTACTGAGCGTCTGAGAAGGTGTGAATTGATAACCACAAATGAAAATTCAAAAAAATGTAAATTAGTTTAAAACTTTTACTAAGCTAAAAGGAATTGCGGTAGTATAATCGCCCCATTAAGAGGAGCATAAATTAAACTAACGTAACCCCTGGAGGCAAACTAGTCAATTGACTTTAGATAAACTATACCAACAGGCAATAAAACGAAGCAATGAGAAGATACAGATTTCAAATTACCCGATACCAATGACTGGCACAATGAATACTAGGTTGGGAGGTGTTTATCGGCTAGAGACTTCCATAGTTAGGATGATTTCTTGCCGGGACCGCCAAAAGTCTGACAGCAAGGTAATTTTCCACCTAGCATGATGTCAGTAGTTCAAGAAATCAGTGAGTTATTCTCGACCAAAACGTTGCTTTTGGAAAAAATAGAACTGAAGCAATGAAATGAAAATAATTAACTACATAGGAACAATGCGCACATTCACCATTTTTGCACAAGACGTTCCAGTTAACCAATCATCCACGAAATTGCGATTCAATGATGCAATAGGCAGCGATTTGTGAGATTGGCTTTAACATTTACTATTTGTACCCAGGCGTGCTTCGAACAAAGTGCGCAAAAAATAACGCCCTTCAAAAACATTCAAGTAGATGTTACAGGTTCTCCAAATAAGTGACGAGCAGGATAAATCAAAAAGGGAGAACTAGGTGACACAAATAAGCATCATTGAAAGGATTCGAGACTGTCACCAACTTCTTAAGATTTGTTTTCAAATCAATCAAAAAAATCTGTGTCTACTCCCTCCTTAACTAGGAGTACGATCCGGACATTGTTCACACGTCTTCAGTAAGCATACCTGAAACAGTTACCTGACAAAATTTAGTGACGAACAAAAGCCTTGTTATCAATAAGTCCAATATTCAATGGATGGCCAAGATAACTACCACAGTTAAAGTATGGAAAACGAAACAAATGGTTGAAAGAACTTGTATGCACATTTAACAATGCATTTAACCACGACGTTTGAGTGATGACGTGGTAATAGGCTTCAGCTGGTGTTAAATTTCCAACTCCTGCATATGCCAAAGATAAGCCCTTTAAAGTGGTATACTTTAACAATCAGTGATAACCCTATATACCAAAGTTCAATTATGCATGAGGAAAGAAAACCAAAATAGTTGAAAGTGAATAACATTTGACTATTCAGATTTTGGGTGCACAGACGGTTTGCAGTCAAAAATAAATATGAAGTTAGTCCACCAAACCGCAAAATATCTATGTGCATGACGAATTCTCTCTATTCGAACATCAAAAGGCAGATGAATGAAACTACTGCGTTATCAAAGCGAATTAAGTTTTCGGAGGTCAACACATAAGCAAGCATATACACGAAGAATTTGGGCGTTTATAATATTGATTTACCATCGGTAAAGAAATTCAGGAAGGTAGAATAGCCTAGATTAGCCAGTGATGTGAGTAGATTCCTGATTGTCAAGCGTGACTATGTGAATGGCATGGTTGGCGTACGCAGTAACAACCAATTCGATGAAGTAACTTACGGTGCCTCAAGAACATGACTCCTGCCGGTACTGGGCGAATTAGTGACCACAGTGGGGAGGCTACGAGAACCGCTGAGACGATAAGAACTACCAAAGAGCCTGCGTAGTGGGGACATGACCCGACCCCGAGGCTCTACGGGTTCAGCGACGTAGGCCTTTATTTGTTCGAACTTGGTGGTTGCACTACCCACCAGTCGTTGCCAGGCCTCACCACGCATGGAATCTGGAATGCCCTTGCGACAGCGTTCCCGCAGTTTTTTTATTCCCGTAGTAGACCAATAGTTCCAGTTACGACACATACCCAGCCATTTCATCTCGCGCGAACGCACTACATCGATAGGAGGGAGAAATTCTCTGAAAATGCGAATCAGTATAAAGACTAGAATTACTTTGTGGGATCTGTGTATTGCTGGCCCCCGCTAAAACCGTATCGGTCGACAACAGAGGACGTGAACTCCGATTCATCAAAATCTGTACCCTCGGACTCCATATCTTCGCTTTCGGCCAAAGCTGGCGTCCGAGCCATTACATCAAAGTGGTCGAAGCTCTCATTCATGGCTACAAGTGGGAGGGAAAATCGAAAGTAGCGAAAGAATTTGCATAGCCCAGTGCATCAAATTCAACAGCAACTCGTAATAGTTTCTTCCGGAAGACATGTGTGTTTAGAAATCAACAAACCAACTAAAAGCACAAAGCCTGAAAGTAAAAATTCCTATTGCATTAGGTGATGGCGAATGAAGGAACAGTTACAACACGAAATTACGAGGCAGTAGCCTAATAAGAGTATAAAATTCTTAGAATGCTGAGCACACAAACCCCACCCAAATATAAACAAACTTGACGGTAAATTGGGGTACAAAATACCTGTTAAAGGAAAGTTTGTACAAAAATCTGCCACAACCAAATAGCCAATCTAATGCCAACATTCATTCACTGTCAACCACCAATACAAATAGAAATTGCCCCCATTAGTCAATATGTTTTTCATATTGAACAAAATCGAAACAAGCCTCCCGACACCACAAACCATTTCGATATGCGAACAATATTTATGACTTACTATAACAAAGCAGCAGTCAGAAAAAAAGTGAAGCACAATGAGCAACACGAAATGCATAAAACTGCAAAATTACAAATAAAAGTATTAAACTTACTTAACAGGGCTTCATCAGATGCAAAAGGTGTTAATACCTTGCCTCGTCGCAGTACTTATTGCATCTTCGAGAACAAACATTAATTTGTGCCAAAAATTCGGAGCAATTTTAAAATAAAGGCATACAAAATCTGTGTATGACCGCTAAAAGGTTTCATGAGTTAATCAGAAATAGTACTTTATTGTGTTGGACATTTGCACAGCTGTGAATACAGTTAAGCAAAACTTCAACATTGTTGAATATAAGTGCATTGTCTTTGCCCTACCCTCAGACTCTTGTACTTCTCTCTTCAGAGATGAGGATTCGCTTTAGAAAGATGTAGTTTGCCCTTAGTAAAGCGCGCAGAAAAAATGGGTGTAATGCTAATAGGAATTGACTACGTTAGTCCAGAGGAGGCGTCATGCGCTCTTCCAGAGCGATAATCTAAGTGAACAATTACCTCTTCCCTGTAAGGAGAAATGAAGCATACTAGCATGCATTACAATTAAGGGAATATTATTTCAATCGGAAGCTTTGTGTATAGCATTTCAGTGCCACTGTAGCGTCCCGAAGCTTCCCATAGGATAGTAGAAGACATAAGTGATGGTTGAATACATGTATTCCGAAGACGACAGGGCAAATGGGATCTGAGCGTGTCCCGAAGGCCAGCCCACGTGCATAGAGGCCAGACAAATTCTAAAGCAACCGCCAAGCGCCAATTAGTCGCATAAACAAAGCATTACAGCCACAACATCTCATATCTTGGATAATTTAATTGTGTTGCTAGACATAGCTTCAAGAGACTTGTTGCTAAATAGAAAAAGTCCTTTAGTTGCTATAAGAAGGTAGCGAATTTTGGTTTGACCCGGTGGCCTCACGAATAACAAAGTTACTGCCAGGCAAACAGGTGATCGCATGAGCAAAGTGCAAGATTAACTATCAGAGAAATTTTAAAAGGAACGTTAAAATTTTGGAGTGAGACTCTAGCACAACCTCGCTCTCGTGTGAGCTCTTCCCGGCCGCTTCCCAAAAGAACCGTTCCCTCTAGAAAGTTTCATTTAACATCCTGCAAATTACAACCTTTGGTATGTAACACAATAGGGTAAGAGAAGAGCTGAAGAGTTGAAGGGAATCGGCTAACCACTTCTCCGTCACTGTCCTAAAAATGAACCTTCGCCTCACCAACAAGGCGCATTTAAACAAATTGGGCTGTTACACAGATTACAGATGCATCTCAATAAATTATGTCCCACCACTGCCCAACAGTGCGTAGACATCAATCCCTTGCTTGTTTTTTGTATAATATCTTAAAAATAGAAGTCACATCGTATGAATAAGTGCAGTATGCCTCTTGCCAGAATAATCTTTGGTGCGCACTGCTCAAACCCTTTGGCCGTATCATCTACTGTGTATACGTTTTAAAGATTTGTGTAAACTTATGTAAATGTCACTGTTGGGTTCTGTTGGCCATTATATCAATGGATTAAAAGCTCTATAGGCCTCATGTCCAGTTTGTGCGAGTGTGGTTCCTCAAGTTCGCATATGCTAACATAAGATCATTAGATATTCTAGAATTAAGGTCTTGGCCTAACATATGCACTTGAGAAATATCGCTGCAAAATTAATGACTATGCTTGTAATACTTTGTTTATGTGACCACATGACGTTAGGCGGTTGCTTTAGAGTTTGTCTGGCCCCTGTACACAGGGGCTGGCCTTCGGGTCACGCTCAGGCCCCGTTAGCCCTGTCGTCTTCGGAATACATGTGTTCAACCTCACTTATGCCTTCTTCCATCCTATGGGAAGTCTCGAGGCGCTACAATGCTCTTTGTCATTAACTTCGAATGGCAAGGTAGTGCTTCGTAATTTATAAACTGAGTTACTTTGGAAAATGGGCACAGCTACCATGGAGGCATTGGTGGAACCTCATCGAAGCACAACACTTTATAGATGGCGGAAGGTATAGTCATTGAGTAGAATCCATAGTTCGATACAAGAAAAGAGGAATCGGGCTTTTAAGAGGTCTGGATGTCGGCCTACTCAGTTAAAGCAATAAGACCGCTTAAGTAACCTCTATCCAAAATTAACAGTTAAATTCAAGTTATTATGCGAACATGGAACATAGGAACATGGACGTAGTCACATTATAAACGTCATTGGGTGGAAGATTTAGGGTAAATGGTGGTAGATATCGAAACAATCGTCATAAGGTTCTTCAGAGCTCTGAAGGGCTTTAAAGGTTACCTACATTAATTGATCCAAGTCAAGCTAAGTACCACAAAGCAATGTTTAACCTCACTGTGAACATTGGAGCGTAAAGGATAGATTTTGCTTAAAAACCGGTAAAAATAGATGGGGCTGGCTAAAGATTTTATTTAGGATGCATGATTAAGTAGTGATAATTAGGCTTTTAATTTTCAACTCAGAGGCATGAGATTGTCTACAGATCCAAGCTCATTAGTGCCAGTTCTGTTATGCTTTTTACAAAGGTGTTGGAAGGTCACCCCAATGAGACAGCATTATAAGTAGATAAGAGGGAATTAGACTTGGAGCCCAGAATTTCTTCTAGGAACGGTTTTAGAAACACGGAAAATGCATTTGAGGAGCTAGTTTGCAATTTTATTTCGGCAATCAAACAGCTGAAGAGTTGAGTCCATAGTGGGAAGAAGGACTTCACTGGGACCGATAACTAACTGCACTGTGTATAACTGGCCATGCAATTATAGTCGTACAGTAAAATATGAGTAGCGGCAGTCAACAAGCATTCCAAATGACACTGTTAGAACTATCGAAAGTGAAATGATTAATTGCACTTAGGGTATTTTCGTAAACTCACAAACACAGTGGGCAAAATTACAACCTTCTTGACCTTAACTTCCATTTTTCACAAAATCTCAAACAATCTGTGCTTTGAAAAAGCATTGCATTGTGCTGATCGTTCGATTAACGCTTCGATTTGGTTGATTTGGCGCTAGAGGCCATTTTTATTGTGCTTTCCGTCCAGCGGCGTGGTCTCTCTAACTCGCCTTGCGTCGGCAGTGCATATTCCATCCCCTTGCGTCTTCTCTGAACGTTAGAAAGGTCACTCCCACACTGCTACCAACTGATCCGTTTTTTATGGTCAACTCTGACTTTCAGTGTATATTCATTGACTCATATATTGTAGTACTCATTTCAATTTACAAGTTAAAATAGAGAAGGCAAGAGAACTTGCTCGTTCCCGGTATGGCTGACCACTAGGTAAAGGGTATTATCTTTCGTTGCATAGAACTTGATGAGATGTCCTAGACTAAATGTACACTTAAGGCTTTGCGTTATGATGATGATAATAACAATAAAATTAATAATTTTGCATGAAGTAAAGGATCGGAGCATTTACTAATTAGGTGCGATTGGACTTTAACCAAAATACAAAAAGCATACGCTATTCACTTATGAATCATCTTGTCACATTTTGGCTCCCGTGAGGATGGAAGCAGTACAGTATTGCCGGTGCACAGCTTAGCTGAGGAGCGGTTTGTTTGTTAAAATGTTTGTTGCTAGTGAAAAAATGCTGACATGTGGCGTTAGAATAGCCTTTTCCTCTTTTAAAAGGGCGGAATAAAACGTCGAGTGGAGCGCTGTGACGGGGTTTGAGTTAGTGCTCTCTCGTTAAAAATAATTCATCACAAGTGTTACGATGACGCCCACATCTACCTTGACTCTTCGAAATGCAGAAAACGTAGTCACCTTTTTTCCAAACAATGTCCGATCAGGAAGTGAAGACCACCTGTTCTGGTACAGTGTTGAAAAAGGCAAAGTTTGGAATGCAAGAGCCACCCGAATGCGGTAACTTGTTTGCAAGTTGAATCTCCACATCTGTCAACAACTTTGTCAGTTTCGCTTTTTCAGATACTGCATTGTGGGCAGGATCAACCCATTTTCCATGGTCTACCTTCATTTTCCGAAACAATGGCGCTGATCAGTTCTGTTAAAAGTATTTCACTGGAGGAGCTGCACCTTAAAGCCGCGGTTTATGTAGCACGTGGACTGCCACCAACGCGTTGCATGAGGTGTCGGGTTCATTCGATCAACCTCCCTGCAGTAAAGTTTGAGAACAGAAAACAAGTGGAAAACTCGTCCACCCGAAGGACACATTCATGAATCGCAAATGCCACTCTGAGTGGCTTAAGTTCCCCAATCCTCCTTGTTGTGGACGAAGTAGTGTCGCCATAATTCCAAGGTTGGTAAACAACTCGTTTCAAGTGAAGGCAAAATGAACTTACCCACACACATACACTCAATTATTTAAATTATGTAGAAATACTGCTGCATTGGCGTTCATTGGTATCTTCACTCCTGTTCACTTCTCCAGCCGACTCAGGTAATCCAAAATTGGGCTGGAAACACGTGTTATTCTGCCATGTAATAAGTGGGTTCACCTT